AGGACGGTCTGACAGCCGGAAGCACCATGACCGGCGCAACCAAGAAAACGGGCCAGACTGAGACTTCTGCAGCGCAGTCGCAGCCGCAGGAACAGGCTTCGCACCCCAGTGACGAAGTCTCTGGTTCTCATCAGTACACCGTACAAGAAGAAGGGGAGGAGGGTACTGCCACCGGAACCAAAACTGCTCCCAGCGAGTACACCGCTACTGCTCCCGACACTCAAGCGCAGCAGACCGGCACTTCCCAACCCAGCGGCGAAGTCTCCAGGGAGCAACAATACGCTCGCTCCGTTACCTTTGACGAGTCGCAAAACAAGTCTCAGGAGGCGCCGACCGAGTACACGGGCGAGGACTCCGGCTCCGCGATCGGAACCGAACAGACGGCCACGCAAACTGGCACTGGCTACACTGGCACTGGCTACACCCAGTCGCAGTCGCAACCCCAGCCATCCCACCCATCGGACGAAATCTCGGGCACGAACCAGTACACCGGCACGGGAACTACCACCTACGACTTCGGCACCCGCACCGCTACCGCGCCAACCCAAATCGGCGAAACCGACCAAACCGGCACGGGAACTACCACCTACGACTACGGCACCCGCACCGCCACCGCGCCGACCCAAACCGGCGAAACCGAACAAACTGGCGAGGGTGTCCCCACGGGCGAGTCCGTCACCGTCGCCGAACACCTCGACTTCTCGGTGCTCAAGAACGGCAAGGTCAACAAGGGTGGTAATGTCATTGATTCCGATGGCAAGATTGTCGGGCGCGTCGTGTCGGGTATCCTGCAGTACCTCGTCGGCAAGAAGGTCGACGAGAACGGAGACATTTGGTCTGACAATGGAAAGGTGATTGGCAAGGCGGAGCCGATTTCCGACAGCGAGCGGGAGGATATGCTCAAGGAGCCAGCGCCCTTTGAGAGCTTCCCCGACGCGGTCGTGGACGGAAATGGCATGGTGGTCAGCAATGGGGAGTGGATTGGTAAAGTTATCGAGGGTGATTTGAAGGTGCTGAGAGGCAAGAGCGTCGATGCGGATGGCGATATTATGGATAAGGCCGGGAACGTGATTGGGCGTGCGGAACGCTGGGAGCCAGAACCCGAGGAGGCGCCTGAGCCCGAGCCCGAGGTAGACAAGAGCATCTTAGCAGGGAAGAGGGTCAATAAGGCTGGCAATGTGGTTGATGGCTCAGGAGTCATCTATGGTCGCGTGGTGGAGGGTGATGTGAAGAGGATGGTTGGTCGCATGTGCGATAAGAACGGCAACGTTCTCAGTGAGAGCGGTGATATTCTCGGCAAAGCCGATCTTGTGCCTGAGGGCGAGCGCGAGGGTATGAAGGAGGGTCCTTTCTCTGAGCTTGAGGGCTGCACTGTTGCCAAGGATGGAACCATCGTCACACCTGGTGGTGATATCGTCGGCCGTCTCGTCAATGGCGACCCCAAGGTGCTCTTTGGTCGTCCTGTCGATGACGATGGTGATGTTCTCGACAGAAACGGCAACGTCCTCGGCCATGCTGAGCGCTGGACGCCCGAGGAGGTTGAGAGGAAGAAGAACCCCATGTCTGGCCGCAAGGTGAACCGTGAGGGCAACGTCGTCGATGAAGACGGTAACATCATCGGCAAGTTGACTTCCGGTGACCCTCAATCTTGCTCCGGTAAAGAGATTGATGACGACGGAGACGTTGTCGACTACAAGGGTACTGTCATCGGCCACTGCACACTCCTCGAGGATCTTAGAGAAGAGGAGTCGCCTGAGGAGAAGGAGAAGAGGGAGCAGGCCGAGAAGGACAAGAAGCTGGCTCTCCAGATGGCTGTCTGCATTGAGCAGTGTCTCGACAAGATTCGCCCGCTTTGCAAGATGATCACCGAGGTGAGTTTCTCATGTGTATTACTTTGATTACTTACCTATCAGTCACTGACCAGCGAGTTTTGAACAACAGAAAATCGACAAGGCCGAACGCACTCCCGAGGATGAGCGTGACGAAGAGGCGCTCGTCAGGGAAGTCAAGCCTTTGATCGAGGAAGGTGGTCGTATCCTCACCGAGGCCAAAGGTATCATCAAAGGTCTCGACCCCGATGGCCGCATCGCAGCCAACGCCAAGCACAAGACTGCTTCGCGCGAGGCCACTCCTGAGGAGTACCATTTGGCTGAGGTCCTCAAAGACCTCACTGGTGACATTACCCAGTGCATCGAGAACGCCAAGAGAAAGCTTGAAGACATGCCTCATGCGAAGAAGGAGCTCAACCCTCTCTGGGGTCTTCTCAACGAGCCACTCTTCCAGATCCTGGCTGCCGTTGGCTTGCTTCTGGCCGGTGTTCTTAACCTTGTCGGCAGATTGGTAGGTGTACACATATCTACCCGTCATTTTCTTGCTCTGGCGAATGGTGCTAACAGAGTTGTGCAGCTGAGCGGTCTCGGTCTTGGTGGGCTCGTCGATGGCCTTTTGGGAACACTTGGTCTCAACCGCGTCCTTGAGGGTCTTGGTCTTGGATCCCTTACCAAGAGTTTGACTGGAGCCAGCAAGAAGAAAAACAGTGGTCTCTTGGGCCTTGGTGGCTAAATATGTGCGGGATAATGGGATGTTTTGGTCGTGGAATGTTTGGATATGGTAATGTTAATTGTTATGATAAGTTGATGTGTGTCATGAATCCGGTTTGTGAATGTTAGTCTAGTTTCTTTCCAAGATCTTGGTTAAATGGTTCAGTGTTTACAGTCGAGTGTCCTACTCTAATATTCAGTCATTCTTCCCTCTCTTGTCCTAGAAAACAGTTGCAAATTCTTGGATGACAAGAGACTTATTCATAGGCATATGAATTCCAAGTTTTGTATCACGACAAGGGCAATGGACCTTTTCCCCTTGAGAAGAGTTGAAACCAGGGCCGAAAAGGACAGGCGTCGGATTACACTTGATCAGGAGAAGTTGACTCACCACCTAAAAATGTTAGTGTCAGCAACCCGAGCGGACGGTTCGCTTCCCCTACCCACTGCATGTCGAGTGGAACAGTCAACAGACAGACCTCAGAGACCGTATCCTGGCTGGCATGAAACGGATGGAGTTAGCAGATCTCGACTATCACCGCCAATGCCCCGTGGTGTTGTCTCTCTTATCGCCGGCCACGTCAACTGTCAGGACGGGAGTGACGACGCCGTCAAGGCTACGAGTACGTATCATGATGTTTCTTGAACCCTGTCGTGTCGATGTTGGTCTGGAAGAACGGCCAAGAGCGGAAAACGGCCTTCGGTGCATGCTCGGCAGTTGTTGTTGACATGGACAAGGATGAGAGGCTCTCACCAAGGAAACATTTCTGGAGCCGTAGATCGGTGGACTCGGTGGGTTCAGCGTGGACTGGGTGGGGCCTGAGAAAAGGGTAGACGGCGGCGCAAGTGGATTTGCGGGGAGTGGTGTGGGCGATATCGGAGGTAGCAATTTGACTGTCGCAGCTCAATGTTGGAGACGTGATTGGTCAATTCGGCCACAGCTCGCAGTCTCAAAGAAGAACCTTGACGGTTGGTAATGTGGTGATGGTCGGTAGCGACGTCGGAGCATTTAGACATGACCTTCGTTGCTAGGTTGGTTTTTGTTGTTGACTCTGTGCGAGTGAGAATGAAGCTATTCAGGAACGATGAAAGGGCATTATGAGAGCAAACTTGGAAGGCGGAAAGTCACCCCCCACATAGTATTCGTTGTTCTGAGGATTCGCGGCTGCCATGTGTGACACTAGCGATGCAGGGAAACGGGACCAGTACTTAGCGTTGGCCCAATACGTGGACGGTGAAGCTGGCGGCTACCTACCAAGCAAAACATTCTGTGGAATGTAGTCGCACGACCACATCATTGTCGGGCTAGATATTCGCCATCTTCGAGTCATGATACTATCTGTTTATCATCTTGGGAGACATTTACGATGAAGTAGTGCTAGCCATGATCTCGGAAAGCATGATTGCTGTGACACTGCTTGCCGTTCTCCACCGAAATATAGTGGTGGAGGTGGCCTTTTCTCCGAATTTTTGATGGATTCCCGAACAAACATCGGTCCGCAGTCACGTTCCCTCGCTCCCCCGCCGTTGCAGAGTGCCGTGCCTGTGATTTTCCTGGTGCCGTCCGTGATTGGTCTTGACGGTGCCTTGCCCTGCATGTTTGTGCCTGACGTGTAGTCGTACTGACGGGATATTGGATGACTCCAACTTGGACACCCACACACTCTTCCGTCGGCTGTCCGCTGTGTCGCGTGTGTTCCAACAAGGAACCAACTGACCGTGTTCAGTGTCAAATGTTGCCGTCTTCTTTTTCGGTACGGGTTCGGGGATGCTAGGAATATAGACAAGACGTAAAAGACGAAGCTAAACAAGGGTGGCGGGTCTTGTGAGGCTCGGACAGAAGGAGCCGGCCGGCTGTTTCGTGGACCACCACAAGACGAGATCAATGCGGCTACAAGATGGAACAAGACACTTCAGTTGAAAGTCAAACACTTCCCATTCACAACCGCCACACCGAACTAATTCCTCTTGCCTTCTGGTGGAAAGATGCGAAATGTCCAAAAGTTCAAAGGAATCGGCAGAACCCAGAGCCAATCACAGGCTCGTGCACCGCAGTGGCTGCTTCCGAAATCGCCACTACACTTTGCCAGCAATAAGCCGCCAGGGACCTGTCATTGGCTGAGATCACCCAAACCTGGCCTCTCGAGTTCCACCAGCCTGACTGTCGCGACCAGAGTACCCCACACTTATGACTATCGTGCCGGCCAGAGTCAAATTTTTGAGCCCGGGCGGCGGTTCGACTCACATTGCTCCCGGTTCCCGGACGGTCTCGGTCTGGTAGTCGCTACACTGACCACCACCACACTGCATTGATTCATCAATTGTCATCTACACAAGTACAACAAGAGACACTCTGCTTTCTTCGTAAGTCTGTCTTCTTGCTCCCCTTTTCTTCCCTTCCCCATTCATAAAACCCTTTGATGTTTTCCTAGTACTACAGGAATAACCTACAATCCTCCCTAATATCTATTTTCTGCTGCGTCCTCAGCCGACGATATTCCTCTAACAAAGCCACTGTTATATAGCTTGTGGTCCCCCCGCCGCCGCCCGCGTGTAACAGCAATTCGTTATCCTCCCAATAGACCATATATATCCTCCAAGGCCGCGATGCTCCGATCACGTCAGGCCGCTCGCGCCTTGAAGGCGTTGACTGAGGCGCAACAGATCTCCCAGCGTACCACCCTCTCTGCCTCCCAGAGGGCCGCTGTTCTTCTCACAACCCGCTCCGTGCAAACGAGGAATCAATCCACTGCCGCCGCGTATGTCCTTCTCCAAAAACATCCCTTGGTCCGGTCGCCGACCCCCTTATACCAGTGACTCATGACCGTCTAGAAATAAATAATGACAAGGCTAACATACACAACCATCACAGCGCGACGAGACCTACCCCTAGCCAACATTTCCAGCCTGAGCCTACACCTAGCAATGTTCAGCCTCTGGTGGGGCGCAAGCCCGACATGGACGAGTCGTATGTTTCATGCCCCGTAACATCGAGTACGCCTACGATCTGGCCAGGCTAACAAGATATCCGTCATGCAGCTTCATCGGCAAGACCGGTGGTGAAATCTTCCATGAGATGATGCTCAGACACGGCGTGAAGCACATTTTCGGCTATCCTGGCGGTGCCATTCTCCCCGTCTTCGATGCCATCTACAACTCTCCCCATTTCGATTTCGTCCTCCCCCGCCACGAACAAGGTGCTGGTCACATGGCTGAGGGTTATGCCCGTGCTTCTGGCAAGCCCGGTGTCGTCCTCGTCACCTCCGGTCCCGGTGCCACCAACGTCGTTACCCCCATGGCCGATGCCCTTGCCGACGGTACTCCCATGGTTGTCTTCTCCGGCCAGGTCCCCACCACCGCCATTGGCAGCGATGCTTTCCAGGAGGCCGATGTCATTGGTATTTCTAGAGCCTGCACCAAGTGGAACGTCATGGTGAAGAGTGTCGCCGAGCTTCCCCGCCGCATTAACGAGGCCTTCGAGATCGCTACTAGCGGCAGACCTGGTCCCGTCCTCGTCGATCTCCCCAAGGACATCACCGCTGGTATCCTTCGCCGGGCCATCCCCACCGACACCGCCATCCCCACCAGTCCTAGTGCCGCCTCCCGCGCTGCCATTGAGCTGAGCCGCAAGCAGCTCGATGCCTCGATCCAGCGTGTCGCCAAGCTCATCAACATCGCCAAGAAGCCCGTCATCTACGCCGGCCACGGTGTTGTCCAGTCCAAGGGCGGTCCTGCGCTCCTCCGCGCCCTTTCCGAGAAGGCCTCTATCCCCGTCACCACCACCCTCCACGGTCTTGGTGCCTTCGATGAGCTCGATGAAAAGTCTCTTCACATGCTCGGTATGCACGGTGCCGCCTACGCCAACATGGCCGTCCAGGAGGCCGATTTGATCATCTGCCTTGGTGGCCGTTTCGACGACCGTGTCACTCTTAACCTCAACAAGTTTGCCCCCGCTGCTAAGGCTGCCGCTGCCGAGGGTCGCGGTGGTATCGTCCACTTCGAGATTCTTCCCAAGAACATCAACAAGGTCGTCCAGGCTACCGAGGCTGTCGAGGGTGATGTTGCCACCAACATCGAGCTCCTTATCCCTCAGGTTGACGCCAAGACCATGGCCGATCGCAAGGAATGGTTCGGCAAGATCAACGAGTGGAAGTCCAAGTGGCCCCTTTCCGACTACGAGCGCGCCGAGCGCACCGGTCTGATCAAGCCCCAGACCCTCATCGAGGAGCTCAGCAAGCTCACCGAGGGCCGCAAGGAGAACACCTACATCGCCACCGGTGTCGGCCAGCATCAGATGTGGACCGCTCAGCACTTCCGCTGGCGCCACCCCCGTACCATGATCACCTCCGGTGGTCTCGGTACCATGGGCTTCGGTCTCCCCGCCGCCATCGGCGCCAAGGTTGCCAAGCCCGATGCTCTTGTCATTGACATCGACGGCGATGCCTCCTTCGGCATGACCCTCACCGAGCTCTCCACCGCTGCTCAGTTCAACATTGGCGTCAAGGTCATCGTCCTCAACAACGAGGAGCAGGGCATGGTTACGCAGTGGCAGAACCTCTTCTACGACGACCGCTACTCGCACACCCACCAGAAGAACCCCGACTTCGTCAAGCTTGCTGATGCCATGGGCGTCCAGTCTAAGCGCATCATCAAGCCCGAGGAGGTCGTCGAGGGTCTCAAGTGGCTCATCGACTCGGAGGGCCCCGCCCTTCTCGAGGTCGTCACCGACAAGAAGGTTCCCGTCCTCCCTATGGTCCCTGCCGGCTGCGGTCTGGATGAGTTCATCACCTTCGACCAGGAGCGTGACAGGAAGCGTCGTGAGCTGATGGTCAAGCGCACCGGTGGTGTCCACGGTCTATAAACGTTTTATCGTTCGCTGCGATTTGGATCTATTCCATATGGCGGTGAAGATGGATAACTTGTGGTGTTGGTCAAAAATGGGGATTTTCCTTTCGGCGTTTTACAAGCTCTATGTCTTTTTTTACAACTGCATTACCGGGACAAGAAAAAGGGTATGTGTTGTTGGTGATCCGACGACGTTGGGCGAGGGATCTATTTCCATTATTTGGTTGGATGAAGTGAAAACGCACATTTTACTTTTTGTTTTCAAGGGCTGCATACGCCCATTCTTACCTCCGGGAGGAGGGGAAGAAAAGGGGACAAAAGGTGGCTTTCGAATACACAAGGAGGTTGTGTGTGGGTGCAACAAGCATAAATCTGTTTCATGAAGTTGCGACTGCTTTGCGGGCCTGTATATATCATTATTTCCTTGAATGACTGGATACCACGATTTTTCTTTGCGCAATCACAGTTCCATCGCATCCAAACATCACCTTAAACCAAACCGCGAACACTCATAAACCATGAAATTATATATACTCACCTTGCCGGTATCTGAGCTTTTTGTGAGTTTGTATGCCTAGAGATGTTACCTCCCGTTCATGTTAGGTATCACGATGCCGTCGTTGCCGAGGAAACGCACGACAACACTGGTCTAGCAAGCAATAGGGGTAAACCCGAGTTCATTAACCCCAAGTGTGTACAACCATTTTTCCATCTCTGAACTAACCTAAATTACCTGCCGGCCCACGCCATTTCTTTGCTCATGGTAGGAGTAATAGAGGTACTTGTGTGCGCGAAGCCATAAACAGAAAACAAAGAATAAGTAAAAACCATGCATCAACCTATCCAACGCTCCCGTCCCGCGAAGAACAACTTCGCTCTTATCCCCCGGATCATATGTTACACATGACCGTCACATTACAGTGTTATACCCATTTCCCCTTTCCAATGCCTCCCCCCTTCATCTACCCCACATAAGAATTTCGAACCCTGTTGATGGATGCAAAGAGCTCAAACGAAACCAAAACACAACACAACAACGATGTGAGGAAGCAATCATCGCCCGGGTTATGTTTGCCGTGCAAGAAGCTTCAGAGGAAGGTTACTTCGTGTGCGAAGCCTGGATAGCGGTCTGGATACAATATGCAGGTTAGCAATTAGCCTCTTGGTTGGTGGATAGTAGAGGAGGACAGAGTGCAAATGACAGAAGTGACTTGAAGACCAAGATAAATATTCGAATGGCCGCAGACTCGAGTTACTAATGGGCTCTGTCCAATCGACAATCTGACCGTGACAGTGATGGGACAATGGTGAACAAACCAGACTACCATCATCATCCTCATCTAAACCCACGCCGCAACAACGGACTTAACTTAGACAACCGTCCACTCTTCTTCCTCATCCGTTGTCCCAGGCGCAGCTGCCTTGGACTTCTTGGTGGAGGAAGAAGAAGGAAGGTACTGTTTCAAAAAGACACCAAAGGGGGGTTAGACAACCAAACGAAACGGAACAAACAAAACGCAAGGAGGAATGGAATGGATGCTTGAGAGAAAGAGAGAGAGAGAGAGAAATAATTAACGTACCGGGCAGTTCTCACAAGCACAGTCTCCCGGCGTACAAGTGCAGCTACCAGTGTGGCCGCAATCGCAGGTCTGTGCCGGCTTGGTGGCTACTGGCTTGTCGCGGGTATCCGAAGCAGCAGCGCCAGTGGAAGGGCCCGTGTTGGTGCCTGAGCCGGAGCTCATGTCGGCCTTGGTGCCAGTAGACGGTTTATCGGACATTGTGACTTAAAGTTGGTGGAGTGGTGTTTGGGTGCACCCAAGTGGAAGTGGAATGTTGGTTAGGTAGTTTGTGTAGTTATTTGTTTCGCTGTGTGTTTGGCCGAGTTTGGGTTGTTGCGCGGTGGGTTGAATATGGTGTGTTCGGTGCTGGTCGGTGACGGGGTGGAGAGAAGATCCGGTAGAGGTGATGGGGTGATGAGAGGATGGGGAGTTATATAGCTAATAGTGGGAGGCTGGGTTACGGCTGATGGACTTCAGATGGGAAACGATGAATGGAAGGGAGAGCTGCAATGGAGGATGATTGGGGTAGTGGCGAGGTGACGTAAGTGCGGTTTAGAGAAGTTGAGAGTGGTGATGGTGGAAGGGATCATGGGTTGGCTACGGGCAAGAACGGGTAAAACGGTCGAGAGCGGTCGTAAACTGAGTAACATGGACGGACCAAGGTGGACATGAGCTACTAGGTAGAGGTACCTACCTAACCAACCCCTCTGGGAGTTGAACACACCTGACCTAAAGCTATGAGGAGCTCTCGAGAATCTGAGGAAGTCGAGTCGAGGAATCTGAGTCTTCTGACTCTGCGCATCGTGGTTCGTCAATCGCAACGGCAGTGACGATAAACCTTTCTCTTCACGGTTTTCGGAATAAGAGCTCACGGGCTCAAGGACATCACAAGGTCTCTGCGAGCAACCATGAGCTAAGTGAAAGATTGTCCGAGAGCAGAGCAATCGTCATACCTTCCGTGCGTCCGCTGGAGTGAGGAGAGAGTTCAGCCTCGAGGTATAGGCCATTGGAATGATAGACGGCTTTTGAGAAGGCTGGTCGGCATTGGGAGGCTGATTTGATCATACAACGTAGTCCTACAATAACCAAGTCAAGATATCAGAGAGCTAGTACAGCGACAGAAGAGTAACCAACAACTAGCTTCAACAAAAAGCAATGGGCTTGTCTCCATATCCCAACAAGAAGGACGATCCGAAAAGTTCCAAACCCAGAGCTGCCAAGTAAAACCACCCAAGCCAGCATGGAAAGAGAGAAAGAACTCAGAGATGAAAGAGAAGAAAGTAAAAAGGGGGTATCGAGACATGCAAACCTATATTATCAACACCTTCCATCCTTACAGTGATCAATCCTCCCTCTTCCCTATCATCCTGAACCCTATACAGTTCCTTTAGTCCCTTCTGTCCCTATGGCACCTATTGCGCCTGTGGTACCGTCTCCGTTAAAGCCTTGTTGACTCTTGAATAAAACTTTGCCGCATGCTGCTTGGGGAAAGTGATTTCCTCAACCAAATAATCTGGCAGCAGATCAATAAGCGTGCGGTCCCTGCTCGCATCAAGCTGCGGCATGTAGTGGAACTGGTCTTCGTCAAAGTACTGGGTCGTCTCATCCGCATCGACGTGGGGGGAGTTGGCGCTGATGTGTGCAAGTTTGAAATGGAGTGCTGATTACAGTTATTGTTAGTGAACCTGTATCGTAAACAGGCAGAAGGTGGGAGAACGGGGTATACGACGACTTACTTCCATTCTTCCCCGTCTGTATGCAATCATACACATCCTCACCCGTTTGCTGGTCCCTCTTGACCCCTCTGACGATCAACCCGGTCAGATCCGAGTAGAGATCCTCTTTCAGTTGGTGCTGCTGAGTCGCTTGGGCAATGGCTTCCGAGTTGCCCATGGTGAGCATCCGGTTGCCGTTCTGCTTGTTCTTCATGGCGCTTCCAGGCACTTGAGGTTGGCCAATTTTGGCGACCGCTGCGGCTTCGGCTTGACGGGAGGCTGTGAGCTTGATGTTGAGGGCATTGACTTCCGTCTTGGATTTTGTGAGGGAGCTCGTGAGTTCGGCGACTTTGGCATTGAGGCTTGACAGTTGGGATTCGGATGCTTCGAGCTGCTTGTGGAGACGAGTGGCCTCTCTGGCGGCTTGCTTCTGGGAGGTGAGCTCGGCTTTGAGGGCGGCAATCAGCTGGTCGGAGGCTATGGAGGGGTTTGTTAGCGGTTATCGCCCAAGTTTTCGAATACAAGACATGACATACCAGTCGTCCTCTCTTCGGATTGCTTCCTCAACCTGTCAAAGTTCCTCTCCGCCTCCTTAACCGCAACCTCTCTCAGATCTCTGTATTTCAGCTCCAACGCCTCGTACTTCTGCGTCAGCTCGCCCAACTTGCGCCGTAGCTCCGGGTCGTCAGTCCTTGCCCCAGCCGTATGTGTCTTAAACCCCAGCCCCAACGAAGACGACTTCCTGGTTGTGCTCGCTGGAGGTCCGCTATGCCACGCCCCCGGGATCGGCAACGATTCCTCCTCCTCAATTTGAGTCTCCTCATGTGTCACCTCCGTTACCTCTTCCTGCTGTGACGTCTCATCCTCTTCCACTACCACCAACTCCTCCACCTTCTTCTTCCTCCCCCTTCCGCCTCTTGTCGCAGTCGCCGTCACCGACATGGGCGTCTCCGCCACAGCCGCTGCAGCAGTTTTCCTCGGCCTCCCCCTTGTCGCCCTTGTCGTTGTTTCCTTCGGCGGCGCCTCCACTTCCTCGGTAGCAGTAACATCATGCATAGTCGTATCCTCGTCCCCTTGCTCCTCCGCAATTGTCCCAGTGTGCTCGGTAGATTCCGTCTCTTCCTCTTGTATAGTAGTGGCGGCGGCGCGCTTCCCCCTTCCACTGGTGCGAGTTGCTCTTCCGACGGTAGAGGGAGTCGCGGTAACGTTGCCGGAACTCTCTGCCAGCGCGGCACGAGCAAGGGCGGCCTTTTGTCGTACTGTAAGGGCTTTGGTCTTTTGGGCGGACGCCTTGGTGACTTTGTTTGCGGAAGCGGTCGCCGCGGCGGTTCGCTTGCTCGCTACGGAGGGTGTGGAAGCGGTCTTTCGTTTGGCAGGAGCCATTGTGCTTGCGCCTGCGCCCGAGGCGGCTCTTTGTCTTGTTGCTGTGGCTGCTGTTGTTGTTTGGGCTGTCGCTTGTTTCGCCTTTGACGCAGCGGTGGGTTTAGTTGCTGACCCCGTCTTGACTCCTGTCGTGCTCGGCTGCTTGAGGATCGATTTTGGCTTTGTTATTGTCGATGTCAATTTTGTTTTCGTTGCCGCTTTGCTGCTGCCGAAGCGAGTAGATGCAGGCCCGCTAAGTCCGTCCTCCGAATCCGAATCCACCAGTCCCAGCAAACGAGTGCCGCGTTGCGCCCTAGACATCAGACTCGGAGGTGATGCAAAAGGTGCAGGAAGGGATATCTGAATGTGGGTTTTAGGTCGACGTTGTCGTAGGCGGTCATCGATCGCGCTGGCGGTGATTGGCGCGCAATGGGGTCGAATGGAATGCGATTAGCGACGCGCAGGTCGGTAGCTGCTGCTTCAACTGGGGCGGAGGATTGGCGGCAATTCTGCAAGTTGGAAAGACGCGTGTATTCCACTTGCTTTGCGACAGGCGTCAGCGCGGGTGTGAAAGGATGACGAATCTCAAGCGATTGAAGGTTGCTGCGCTGCGAAAGTAAACAATTTAATGTCGGGAAGGAAGTGGAGGGGCTGTCGCAAGACAACTTCGCGGCTTGTCTCCTTCTCTTCAGGGTTAGGGTTTAAGCCGGTTACACCCTCCATCACCTCAGCTCCGAGTCCCTTTCCTAACTCCAACTGGATATGCATGGTAAAAGGTAATGGCAAGATCCTTCTCGTAAACTTCCTGTTTCCTAGTGGAAAATGCAGATGGTAATCTAATATAGCGCCCCCCAAATCGTCAGACGTACCCCCCACTTCCCATGGTCTTTATTCTGCCCATATAGGTACCCTTCGAACGCCAGATATGTACAAGCCCGCTATATGTGTTAAAGTTTTCATGAAACTGTTTCCCCGCCGTTTACCATTACGATCGATATTGGATAACACATCCTGTACTGCTCTTCGTTATTAGAACGAAGTGAACTCTGTACTTAGCGACAAGAAAGCCAACGAACCCAACAAGCAGGCCGCCTAGTCCTCAGCTGTCCTCTTTGCCTCTTTCAGTCTCTGATGGTGTTGCCTCCTGATGGTCCACAATGAGACGCAAAGCCCGATAGCGCAAGCACCAAGCGTCATGTAATATGCGTCTTTGTAGCAATCGATACCATCGGGACAAGTGCGCTCGCCCTCGTCATTGACAATGCTGTGCTTGTCAAAGACTTTGCCGTAAAACAGGTTAAAGACGTTGCCTGATACGACAGGGCTCAAAGTCATGAAGCCCCAGTTCTGACTGAGTCCATGGATACCGAACGATTCGGCCACAATAGATGGAAAAACGCCGAAGAGGAAGCCGTAGCCAAGACCAGAAAGACCGGAGACGAAACCGAGCAGATGTGGGTTGAGGATGTTGAGAGCGCACAGCTGAGCGATGAAGAAGATCACGCTTCCTAATGTAAGGCACCAGACACGGCTGGCCTTCAACACCTTGACGAGGAAATCTGATCCGACACCTTGAAAGTAAAATTAGTACTAATCTTCAACATGGAAATGAGCCACTTCTTACCGCTGAGCAGTCGGCCAATAAAACTACCGACAGACAGAATAGAAACATGCATCTGTTGCCGATGAACGAGGAATGTGTCATCAACTGTCTTGTCATAGTATTTCCATAGAGCGTTGACATCATGGCCGATGTTGCTGTTAGATGTTAGCGGACAGGGCTCAAAGTTCAGGTAGAAAGTCACAGCAAGAACTCAACACGTACTTGATGGTCATCAAACCAATTCCAGCCAAGATGGCCATAATGCAAAACAGTTGCCAAAACTCGAGACTCTTCAGCAAGGCCCAACCACGGATATCTATACGGTGCGAACGATCCATATCAACACTGCTCTCAACATAAACATCGCCTGGTAGTGAGGACGATCTGGACACAAGGGACGATGTCTCGTCAATGTCTTCTTGTGCTGTTTCCGCAGAGGCCGCTTCGACGTCATTGGATCGGCGAGGAGGGCTGACGTCTCGAGAAGATGAGGGCCCCACGAGCTCGTCTGTGGCTCCGCTAAGGGCCGGTGCTGTAGTGCCACTGGGAGTGGTGTAAACAGTGGGCGACATACCAGGTTCTCCGTCGACGAAACTGCGACCAGCCTGGGGCTTGGACTCCTCAGATAGTGTCCGGCGCAGTTGTTGAGAGCTCGAGAGCCCTGGCCCGGAATGGACCGGGTGATACGAAGAACGCGGGTAAACCTTGAGGAAGAAAAACCCGAGGAACGTAAGGGTGAAAGTGCCAACGGAAAGGAACATGAGGAAGGCGCCAGTGTTGCCGGGGAAGAAGACACTCCCAGAGGCGGAGAAGAAGAATGCACTAAGACCAAAGGCGGCCAGCGGAAAGGCCGTGGCTGTTCCGCGGTGATGAGGCCAATTCAACGCCGACGTTTTGACCGAGGCAGCAAAGGCCATGCAGCTTCCAAATCCAGTCAAGAAGCTGAAGATGCAAAGCAGGGGAACGGAGCCAGTGCCGCTTTCATAGGCGGCTTTGAAGGGGAAGTATCCCAAGCCCAGCAACAAGGCGCCGACAATGACTGGTGGGCGGGTTCCTCGGCGGTCCACATACATTCCAACTGGCACGCCCATTGAGTACATGCCCAGATTCCCGGCCAGTCCGATCAGGTTGCTCTGCGTCGTCGTGAGGTGCAGCTTATCGGCAAACTGAGGAGCCCATGCTGAGTAGACATACTATCCAGAGTGCGCAGACGGCGCAAGCAGTTAGCAGAAGTCCCATACGGTAGCTTTGTGTGGCACGACAGGTCGGGGAAATCGCCCACATTTGTTCCACATGCTAGTGATATAACCGTTGCTGCTATGCTCGACACCAGGCGGGCGCGCTTAAGCTGCTGGTCGAGCATGGTCTTAGTTGTAGTTGTCATGGTTGGGATAACCGCAAGGTGAAGAGACTCCTGAGTCTCGAACGGTCAAGTGATCACGATCAAACGGTCTGAAGCATCCCCGCGACGCCGTTGCAATGAAGGGCCCCTGCCGATCACAAAAGATGTCGGAATCCGGAGTTGGAACAAGCCCAAACTAGTACAAAGATGGGAGAATCGGCAGCAAGCCTGGCATGGTAATTCAGAAACAGGATGAAGGAAATACGATCAGGTCAAAGTTGGGAGGAGGGAGGGAGGATGTGTGTTGTCGTCACTGGGGTGTAGGTACCTACCTCTACATCCGACACATGCCTTATCTGACACTACCTTATCAGCCGTATCATACTCGTCGTAAGGGGTGTTACCTGTTAGCGGTTGCCCAGTGACGCAGGCCCGCTGATTGCGAGTTCCTGGGGTCATTGTCCCCAATGCCATCTTGTGATTGGCCCAGCGCCAGCGGGCAGCTGACAGCTGGTTCCGATACAGGACCTGAGCAGCCAGCCGCCTATCCAAGTATGATACATATGAAACATGATCCGTCGTCCATCTTCCCGTCGCAGTCTCTCCTGAATCTCTCTCCCATCGGCGGGACAGAGCTGAGGTGAAGAGAACAGCCCAGGTACTGGTGCCTGATACAACGGTGTGAGATGAGAGTTGAGTACCAGAATCGTGGTACAAGACTGTCATTAGGTAACTCACGTAGCTGTTGGAGAGCAGTGTCCACTCCCCGTAGGTCTAGAATTGGGTAACGAGTTGAATACGTACATAATGAGAATGGGGGCATGGATGGACCTGGACAGCTGAATGTTCCCCAGATTCGAAACGGGTCCTGGAGTCACGATGCCGGCGGGTCCCCGCTTGCCCCGGGCTCGGGAGACGGGGATGCCGGTTTGCCCGGGATCCATGTCCGTGGATCCGGATCCGAAAGTTATCGACTTCGGAGGAACGCTGAGGGTTACGGCTGAGCACTAGCCCACGTGGTATCGTTGCTGTGTCTTCAATACTTGTAATCCAATTGTACCCGGCCAGGAGTCTATCATGGCTTTCAGTGCATTTTGAAGAATCATGAGAGGTGATCTGTGTCAATTTGGAACGGACAAGCGAGATTTTGAGAAGACACTGAAGAGTCGGTAATCTAAACAGCGAGGCTTTCACTTTCATCGATCTGACTGAGGAAGTTGCCTGGTTAAGATTGGATCGAGACGGGCATTGATCATGCCCGCTGAACGTACTCAGGGCATGGTGGCGCAGTGTGGCTTGAATGCCGGTACTCTGAGAAATGATTGGCCCCGACAGGTGGGCTTCCGTGACTTCTGCCAGCCCAGCCGCGTGTGTCATCTGCTACCCGCCCGCTGAACCAACTGCCCTGACGTCCGTCTGCAGCGACCACGCTGTGGGATCTTGGATGATTCTAGACTTCGTTACCTACCTACCTATCACCAAACATCTCTTTCTCGACTATCGAGCCGATTCGATTTGCGCCAGCCTGTTTCAACGGCGAGCATATCTTCTATTCGCTTCTTCCATCATCAATCGACCAAAATCAAACTGAAACCCGCAACCTAATCAACCGTCGCCATGGGCGCGCTTCTTTCGCTGCCGCTGCTCGCGGTGCCGAGTCTAGGCACTGTAAGTTGCCTCCACACCACGAGCTCACGAACTCGACGTTATGACCCATGATACTGACCATCTCCTCCCGTCACACAGATTCTCGGATTTGTTGGTAGTTGCTGCGGTGCTGCGGCATGCTCCGCTCTCTGTAGCGCATGCGGAAAATGCGGCAACAGGTTGGTGATGATGGTCTCTACGGCATCCTGTTTGCTGAACTAACATCGGTTGGAATAGTGTCCTTACCCGTATCGCATATGCCCTCATCCTTCTCATCAACTCGATACTTTCGTGGATAATGCTCACCAAATGGGCAATTGAAAAACTGCAACACCTCACCTTCAATTACGTCAAGATCAGCTGTGGAAATGGAGACTGCTATGGCTGGCTCGCTGTCCACCGCATCAACTTTGCTCTCGGCTTGTTTCA